CTTTCTGGTCAGAAGTCTTCAAGCGTAAAGTCTCAAGAAATACTCTCCTGGAAGTGCCCTTAAACATTCTTGGACATTGACTACTCCAATAGAAATTAAACAGTCTGACTGGCCACAGGTGGTGAGAAGTAAGATATCATGAGGGGCTTGGGTTTTTGAAGTTTACAGAGATAACCTCTTCAATGATAGTTAAAATAGACGATAGCTTTTTTTCTTTTTTTTTGTTTAAAAAAATTCCTTTTTTATTCCTTTTTCCCCTTGCATAGTTACTTTATTATCATTGGTGAAAAAATAAGGAGCAAATCATCAGATGCTTCTAAAAAAAAAAAACATTCGATCAGATACTGGTACAGCTGAGAAAGCGCAAACCTCCAGCAAAACTCCCTTACAAAGAGAACAGTCTACTGGTAATTATTATATTGCAAGTATTGTTTATAGAGGAACTTCTCGTTATTTTTGATAAATACAATAATTCACATGGATAACGTTGAAGCTATTGAGATTCCTAAGCCAAGTGTTGAAGAAATCAAGAAGTGGAGTCCGCAACAAGTTCTTAAATTTCTTAAAAAAAAGAAAGATAAGATATTTTTAAATAAGGATAACATTAAAATAATCAAGGACAACAGAGTTTCCGGTCGGGCCTTTCTTTATTTGACACAAGATGACCTTATTAATGTTGGAATGACTCTTGGACCTGCTAAAACAATATTAGGGTTGGTTAAGGAATTGAAGGGCGAAGAACAAGGTAATTAGTGAGCGAATAATGCAATCATCTGTTGATATCGCGATCAAAAATTGGTAAAAAGAGATGATTGACAGTTCAAAGATAGTACAATATCACGGCAGGATACTTGTTTAAGGGAATGTTTAGTATAATATTTGTCACGTTGACTAACTTATGCTTTTTACATTAATTATTACATAGCTCCTGCCACCCAAGGTAAGATATTCTTTGATGTTGCTGTTATATTAAAGTAAAATGGGTTTTACATTTTTTATTGTTTCATTTAGCTATACAACTACAGCTTGAAACAGAAAAGCGTAAAAGGGTGGAAACTGAAATTATTATTGGAACGGGAAAAAAGGCTTCGTGTTGATGTTGAATACAAAACCTCAATATCTTATTATGAAACTATTTTGTACGCAACAACCCACGACCTCGCTAGAATGTGGGAGCAGATAAATCCAATACACTGTCAAATGCTATGGTTTGGACCCGCAACAGAACCACTTATGTTCGATCAACCACCGACAAGTAAAGTTGAACAAGACTATCAAGATTGGTTTACAAAGAAAATACTAACACAGCTCGATGATGACGGGTCTGTTAAAGCTGTGAACAGCCATCAGTTAAAGTTCCTCGACGGAAAAGCTCCCGATAGCGCCACTCATACTAAGGGTTATTCTTTAAGTTCACATACAGTAGAGGCCATAGGCGAGATAAAATGTCGAGGAAATTGCTTCACAAACACTTATCAAGGGCAAGTCCTACGGTATGCCATACTCATTTTGAACCATCAGAAGAACCGGAATAAGATCACAGGATTCTTGACGGATTGTCATCACATAATGTTTATTGAAGTCTCCAGGGTGACCGGCCATACAGTGTATCTTATTCCAGTCAGATGAGCTTGAGTAGCCAAATCACCACCCAGTATCTACGAGGGCTTCTTAGTACAATACAGTACCACCCAACCATAGGTATTTTGCATACTTTACATGACCCTGCATCTGCATTATCTCTGCAAACATACATTTTTAATTTGTAGCCTTTAGGTCTAAATGTGGATTTAGATGACATGATTGCATCTACGCCCACCTCTACTATATTTAGCGTTGTCGACAATAAAAATGCAGTTGTCAAACTTGTGAATCAATCCGATCTGTTAAACAATGAGGTCAGAATATTGAAAAAATTGGGTCAAATTTCTGGTGTTATAGAGCTGGTCGATTCGTCCACAAATGCGATGTTATTACAACCACGTGCAGGTGAATCGTTCAAAGAAAGTCCACGCCATGTATCATCCCTCGTGGAAATTGTGGATGTGCTTTATCTATGCCATCGAATTCATATAGTACATGGGGATGTGCGACTGACCAATATCCTTGTGGATAAAGACTGACTCATATTAATTGATTTTGGGTGTGGTTAGATCGTAGGAGAGGTGAGTTTTATCAATGCTTACTAAGTATGATTTTAACATTATTTTATAAATTCGTGGCTCTGTAAATTCAGCAGTGGAATTACTATGGTCCAAGATTACCCTTTCGCTCATTACGATTGATGAAATCAAAGTCTCCAATTTTTATTCAACCCCAAGATGATCTCTTTATGCTCGTTCAATCACTCTATCTTTACTTGCATCACAAAGAAGTACTTGCGACTATGATTGATCTCAGTGATCCCTCGAATGTCCTTGGGTTTTGGGAGAAAGTGTTTTCGAATGATCTCTGGGGGAAGATACGTGTTTCCTGTGAAAACTTGGATTATGATGCCTTAAAGGAATGCATTTTACAAATATCGCAACAAAAATTAGTTTGAGAATAAATAGTGGATGAATTTATTGAATGACTGATGCTTTTTGCGAGGAAAAAAAGTATACAAATAGCGAGATGAAAGTCTGCACTTAATTGGGAGCTATCCTACTCAATAAACCTGTATATACATAAGCACTTTACATAATATTCTTTTTCTTCCCTAGGGGAGGATAAACCTAGAATCTCCGTTTTATATTATGAGAGTGTGTACAACTATTTAATTAGCAAACAAAAAAATATAACCCAGAATCAGGCGAACTTTATTTGATCGTGATATGATATTATAGAAACGTGACCACAGATATGCTAAATATTACGAAAGTAAAAATCTGGCTAGAACATAATATATATCATCCTGAGAAATACTAGATAAGGTTACTGCTGTAAAGCTCTGAATCCGCTTGATATTATGGACTCCGATGGCACTAAATAAATTATAAATCTCGATTGTTTTTTTGTAGCGATTGAATCGTTCCTCGAGTGCCTTCCCAAAATAGAATTAGTATAAAAATTGATTTGTTTGTTTTAGATCGAACAAAACTTATTTTAATTACATAGCAAAAAAAAGACACGAGTTTTAGAATTTCAGCGCAATGACCGGAATGCCTACTCAGGTTGGCTGCACAAAAGACATTTTATAGCACAATGAAATGGGTAGAAAAGGTTTTTGAAATGTACTACCCTGACTGGAAAAACAGAAAACAAATTCCTAACTCAGAAGCAATCAAAAGAGACGACCTAGAATTCGATCCTCAAGGAAATTCGTCAACAAAAGAACAGATTTTAAATAATAAGAAAAGTTCTAGGCCACGGCAATGTCTATGCTAGAATTTAAAGATGAAGATGTTCCCTCAACTATTAGAGATGAAAATAATTATCGTTGGATTGATGCTACTGGTATAACAGTCAATGACTGCAACTTATGTTTAAAGTGTATTCTACAAGCATTATATGAAATTTTAGACGGCAAAGAAAATAAAACTAGCAAAGACCTCGACAACATAAACCTTTTGCTAATCCTTCTGCAAAAACATACTTTAGTACCTTCACGTTTGAAATGGCCAGGTGAATAATGATAACCAAATCCTTAAAGCACATTTGTCTAATATGGCAAATATTAATAAATTAATCTTATTTTTTATTTATAGGGAAATTTTAACGATGAGTTTTTATTTTCATCGACTAAATAATAAACCAAAACCAAATTCTTTTATTTTTAGCGAATTTTTTTGTGGTGGTTTTTATTTTAAGATGTTATAGCTATTAATTTTGAATTTTTTTGAAATTATTATTAAATAAAGAGTGAGTGTTATGTTATTATTGGTTATAAAATCAATCACTATGGGCGCATTTCTTGCGTTAATGTTTCATTCTGACAACAAATACACTACTGTACTAATAGACTCCCAAAAAGTTTTGTCGATATAGCGTGTCAGAGACTCTTACACCATTCTAAAGATTATTTCCCGTTTAGAATCTATTTCCAGGAGGTTTGAATGAATTGAATCCTATTTGAGACCGCATTAGAAGTTTATGCGAAGTCGTTAAATAGTAAACGCGAAGTTGATCGGAATGTAATGCATCGCCAGCTATATACTGTACATGTATGCTACAGTAATACTGTCTAAATCGATAAATATTACTTGTGTCTATGAGGATCAAAATTATCGCCGGGTCATGAATTAGCTTAAAGCTTTATACTAGCATCTGCTCGATTATAATAAAAGAACTTTTGAAATGTTCATGCTAGACATAGAAAAGGAATATGGTGTAACGGTGTAACGCGAGTCTGTCGCCAATCCTAGCAGAAATTCGCGTAGCCGTCGTCAGGTAAAGTGAACTTAAGGTGATTTGAGGCGTGTTGTATTTGACCGAGTCTTTATTAATTTTTCTTCCTCTACTTCCCCCTATTGCATTTAAATTTTTACATCTAATTTATACTTTCTTTCTTTACATTAGGCTATGGCGGTTATAATAGTTGATTATAGAATGATAAGGCTATAGCTATATTACATAATTCTTTTTTTTTTTTAATTATTACAGTCGACTCGTCATTATCGCGTCGATCGGTCACGTGACTGACGTTGCGTTGCATTCTCCCTGTTCAAATTGTCAAATGCTTATCCTTTGATCAAGTGTAATCAAATACAACAAACTCTCCTTTACGGAAGTAGCTATCAATACACTTTTTATATTATTTATATACCTGACAGCTATGTTAGGCATAGTGATTATAGCATGCTATTGTTAGCGGGTGCTAGCAGATGCATTGCTTGAGTAACATACCTAATTTAGTTTTAAATATATAATATATATTTAATATTAATACTTTTTCTGCGTATTAATATCATTAGTTTTCTTGGTTTTAGTAAATGTTCTAAATTATTATAGTAAATTAGGCGTTGCATTTCGTAATTAACTTACTTAATATAGTTTTAAATAGTTTTTCGAAATTAAATGTCTTAGTCATATTAATATATTAATATATTACCTTTTATTATTATTATTAAAATTAGAAAAGTTACAAGTATTAATTTTTTATAGTATACTAAATATTTCCTAGTTTGATTTTTATTAAGTCCTTAATTTAATTTTAAATACAAATTTAATTATACTATAAAATGTTCTTAAATTTTGTTTCGTTTAAGATTAAAATCTGTTCTAATGTCAGAGTTTATTGAATATGACGAAAAATCCAATCAATGGATCAAGCATACCAATATCAACAGTACTAGAATTACTTCCGAACAAATAATTGTTGATGAAGAGGATACATCGTTTTTATCAAGTTCAGAAAATCAATCATCAACATCTATTGAAAATTCGATTTTTAAAAAATCTAATATTCAAACAGATAATTGGGTTTGGAATTATATGCACAAAGATCAATCTACAAATAAAACAATTTGTGATCAGACGATTGTTGACTCAAAAGGCGAAATTAAGTCTTGCGAACATACTTATAGTTTAACTACAGTGAGTTATCAAAAAGATCCGGCCACTTTTAAATAGTAAAATTTTTTAACTTAAAAAAATAAAAAATAAAAAATTTTTTTTATTTTTTTATTTATTAAACTTCTATCTATAATTTTTATTATTAATATTTCATATGATATCCATTTGCAGCAATGACTGCATTGACTCAATTGGGCATGCTGTCAATCAGTCTTTGATAATATTCGAGCGAAAGATCTCTCCATGCACATTTCACATATTTTTTAATTCTTTAAGGTTTGATGAGGCAGATGATTTTTTACAAATTGCTTCTTTCATTTCATGCCATAAATTCTCTATAGGATTCAGGTTGGGGCTCTAGGGGACCATGATAATTTTTTGATTCTGTGAGCTTCGCAAATGGCTGTGGCGACTTTTGACTTGTGTGGCATTGCATTATCCTCTTGAAAAATACCACGGCATGAAAAAAATTTTTGCATAATGGGTATGACATATTTTTTAATGGTTTTAGCATGTACAGTACTAGTAACCGATCTATAGAAAGAAACAATAGGACCTAAGTCACCATAAGCAAAGCACCCCCAGAACATTAGACTTGAACTGTGTTTCGCTAAAGCAGAAATACAAGATAACTTAAGTTCTTCATTTGCTTCTTGCCAAATTCGATCACTATGTTGGAATAGAGTAAATGTGGATTTGTCTGAGAATAAAATTCTTTTCCATTGCCAGGGTTTCCAGTGTTTATGTTGGAGAGCAAATTCTAAATGTTTTTGCAATTCATTTCAGAGATATATAGTTTCAGACAGAGCCTGCAAGATTGAAGTTCTATTTTTTTTAAGTTCCGTCTAATAGTGATGGTAGAGATAATTTTTTTAGTACATGCTAACCAGACATTTCTAATTTTTGTGGCAGACAAACGTCGATTATTTTCTTTATCGTTCATGATGAGATTCTTGAGTTGGGCTTGATCAAGAGAAATAAGAAGTAGGGGTTTGCCTGGTGATTTATTTGGAATGACTGTTTCAGTTTTTTTATAATGTTTAATGATATCATTAACTGTACTTTTTCCATATCCTAGCCTGCTAACAATAGTTTGACTTGTATCGCCTCAAGTGTGCTCATATAAGATCGTGCCATACTGATCCAAGGACAAAGGTTTACCCATATTTATAGCTATCACATTTATGATCAAATCACAAGTTTATTTAATATAAATAAAAGAAAAAAACCTATATTATATATATATTAAAAAAAATTAAAAAAATAAATTAGCTAGACCTTTTTGATAACTTACTGCACATCAATTATCAATATTAAAAGTCATTTTAGAATAAAATATCAAATATATCCACCAGTAACAAAGAATTCAGATTTGATACAATCAACAAATATTTTTTCAATTTCATAACAAAAAAGAGAAAGAATATTATATAGAATTCTTGCTTGAATTATTGATGAAATGATGTCATTTAATGTTATTAATAATAAAAAATTTCATAAACTAATTCATAAATGTGAGCTCCAATTTAATTTTCCTAGTGATCAATATTAAAAGATTGTCTTGGCAAGTCAGTTAGTTATATAACAGTACAATTAATAAATTAATAAATGAAGCTATAATAAAATTTGCTTTTATTATGGACTTTTGGATAGCAATTCATACTTCCTATATTGGTATAACAGTATACTGGCTTTCACTGATTTTGAATTATATCAAGCATTACTTACAATTGAATACTTACCATATCCACTGTTATCGTCACCGGTGAGTCTGTCGCTAAAACGGTTCACTCTTTGCGTGACGATAGTCCGAACACTTGGATTTCGACACTAAATAAGGTAAGGCTTTAACTCCGAGGTGGTTACAATTTGGCCGACTTGCGCACTTGCTAATCTCTTCTTGAC